CTAGCGTGTAGGTATGTAGGCCATGATCTTGCAATGTAGTTGGCCCCTTCCATTGTAACAAGGGATGGTAAAATTGAGGAGACATTTGCATTTGTGTCTGAATTACCTCTAGACTAGCACTTAGGGTTACATGCACCTTCCTCATGTCTTACGTGCAGCATCTACTGCTTCTGCTGCCTCACCTGCAGCAGCACAGCTTCCTTCCTGCTCCAGGATGCCATGTGTCAGGCATCCCATAGCATGCTCTACCATGTTGCTCCTTCGCCGAGTCTCTTTGGGCTAGTTAAATCACAGGCTTTTGAAGGCTGTTGGCTTACCTTGCACATTCAGGCTGACTTCTTCCACGTGAATATAATGAAGTGGTTGATCAGTAATATTTGCCTGGCAGAGAGCTGCCATGGAAACAAACTGTGTTCTGTTTTGATGGGGATGATGGGCGATTTGGCTATCGGTGAGCTCAGGGGAGCTGCTATGAGATGTGTCAGCAGCACAGCTTCCATATGAGATATCCCTAATCCCCAGAGCTGACTTTCATGCATATATGCACCACTACCTCCATCCCTTATCCTTATTGCAACCAGCTGTGGTTTGACTTTGTCAAAGATCTGATAGAGCTCCCTTACCCCCTCTCCCACTCGCTCTACAAACTCCCATTAGTCATACTTGGGCAGCGCATGAAATAAGATGGTGATAAAGCTCTGATCCTAGACACCAGAGTTATTCCTAGGGGCTCCGTGCTGGGCTGTGAAGACTCCACTGTGTTAACCCCTTGGTTAACAGAATTTCCTAATGCCCATAAGCTATGTATCATCTCAGGGTTGATAGAGCTCTTAGGGCACCTTTCATCTAAGTAGAGATGGATTTATTACTGTGGTGTGTTAGAGATTGAATGGGCTTTTTTGGCTTTTTAATTAGTCAGTGGGCTGAGGAAGACAGCTCTTGTGTTAAGGCATTGGCCATTTGTGAAAACTTGGGTTTTCTGTGTATCCCATTGGTAATGCAGAGAGAATGTTATTTTTCTCCTTGTTGTTCATACTACTTAAGCTAAAGATTAACTTTGGCAGAGTGACAAAGGGCTACGTACTGGCCAAGAAACAATTCAGTCTGGAAGTTAGTGGAAGGTTTCTGACCACTGGGGAGGAGGAGCTCGTGGAACAGAAATTGGATTATTTTTTTTAAAAACAGGACAGTTTATCGGCTGGTTAAATTTGGGTTGCTTTTCCCGAGGGTGGTGAAAAGTACATCTTTGATCTGATGCCAGCCACCAGGCAAATTTCAGAGCTTTCACTCATAGCATAGGTTTCTCTAATGGGCAGGATGCTGCTATCTGAGCAGACGAAGGCCACCAGCCACTCCTGGACCCCTAAAGCCACTGCTGGTCAAAGCTGCAGCTGTACTGCCGATGTATCAGCAAAGAACTGTACATCACATCCTTCCCTTTGCAGGCTCGCGTGATACTTCGAGGGGCAAACACAAGCCTTTTGGAAAAGCACAAACATTTTAACTGCCATTTTGCTATCTGTCACGTAGCCACCTTTGCAAAAGGGAGAGAGGGTGGGCAGAGCTTTGTGGGAAGGATGGTTGTTTTGCTTAATCCTCTCAGCTTTCTACAGGGTTTGCACATCTCAAACATTGGAGACACCATTACTGACTCGGGTGGCTGAAGCTCGTGGGTTGTTCAGGAGCGCAGTACTGCTTTTGCAGCGGGTTGAGAGCTCCCGGTGTAAATCCAGTTCTTAAGGCAGTGCAAAACAGTAAATCTAGGCTGACGTGTCTGCATGGGGGCGAAGCAAAGCTTTGTACTTCACTGGGAATGAGTAGGGTCCAAGGACTTTGTCTCTTATCCCAGTTGTGATTTAGAGCTAACTGCTGAGCTGATGGCAGCCCAGATACTCACCAGTAAAGTTAAAAATAAACTGCTTGAATTTCTCTGCTGATAATTAAAGCAACTTTTTATTTTTTTGTGTGATTTGATGTAAAATCAAGCCAGGGCGCTCTCCTCCTCCTCAACAGTGCCTGCCCAGTTTGTGACCCCTGAAGTCCTGCAGGCTTTTCATACTCTCTCAGCAGCAGTTCAGTTTCTGAGATGCTGGCTTGCTTCTTTTATTTCACTGTGTCTAGTGAAGATCTTAGAGATCCTGTGCGTTCAAATAAAAATTTGAATGCTATTCAAATTTGAATTGCTATTAAAACGCTAAACCTTCAGATCCAAATCTCTTTTGTTACCCTTTGAAGGCTGTTCTGCATCTGTAGCACTGGTGGAGTATCCTGTAGCTGCCTATGAACGCAGTTGCTGCTGGACCTAATGTGTTAGGCTAGAACGAGGATTAGACTGAGCAGATGCTAGAGGCAAGCAGGACCATCTTGTTGTCAGGAGGTGTCTCTCCAGCCATGGCAGACTGTTGGTCCTGCTTCTTCCCATCCTCAGTTGTACGCCGTCTCTGGAAGGTGCTCTAATTTGGGATGTGTAGCACAAAGCATCTCTGATCCATGCATGGAGTCCTTGGTTGTCACTGTGTACGTGCCAGCAGTAATACATCTTTGCACTCTTTGGACACCTTTTCTAGTATGTCCAGAGGCACAAAGTCACTGTTTGAACATGAGGTGCCGAGTACTGAAAGCTGCTGAGTGATGCTCACAGGGGATCTTGCCTGTGTCATCGTTTATTTGTCACCAAACAGGGGAGCGGTGTTTACAGAGCTCTCTGCAGTGGTTTGTGTTTGCTGCCCTAAGAATTTCATTTGCTCTGTTCACAAACAATTGCAGTAAACAGGCTGTAGTAATTGAACTTTCAATTTCCTTCAGCTTTGGCTCCGTAATCAGCTTCCCGGCTGCATTCTCAGGTGTGGGGCTTTAGAAACCATGTCTTTCAAACTCAAATATTTTAAGGGGAAGGGGATGTCTTGTTTTTGCAGCAGCCTCTGCAAAGCATGCTTTCTATCTTGGACATCCAGGAAAGCTACTGCACCAGCCGTTTACCAAAGCTTTGGTTGTCTTTCCCAGTCGACCACGTGGTTCCTGAGCCAGGGACCAGTTTGCTGACTGCATTCGACCAGTGGCGAGAATGGGCAGACAGCAAATCCTGCTGCGACTACTCTTTGCATGTGGATATCACCGAGTGGCATAAAGGTGTCCAGGAGGAGATGGAAGCTCTGGTTAAAGATCATGGTAAGTTCAGTTACTTGAAAGCTCACAGAAGCCTTTCCCCTCTTTATTTTTTAGGACTGGCTCTTGTGAAATATTTTACTCTTACATCTTAATAAAGCTGTAAGCTTTATTATATATTTATTATAAAGCCCTGACGTTAACTTGGGCCATTCCGGCTTCTTGTGGAGGTTTGGACAGTCACTGTTGTAGAGGGCTGAGGGGGGATGGTATGCACTGGTGTCGCTGCAATGTGTTAGGTGGGTGAGCATTGATTCTGAAGAGGTGAATCTCTTGCTGCTGCTATGCAGAGGAGCACCTTTCTTCAGTGGAGGTCCTTTGATTTTCGTTAGAGCAGGTAGGTGATAGGTTTGGCCATTAAACTGTTGTAAACAAGGGAACAATCCAGCACTGCTTGCTAAAAGTGGAGAAGAGCTGAATAAAATGACCTCATAGGTTTTTCCCCTCTTTAATTTCCTTGACGTTTCATCCTTAGGCTAGAGTAATTTTCCATCCTGTTTGTAGTTTAAAAAAACAATCATTTACATCCTAATGAGTGCTTTCCCACACGTGCTGGATAAGAGCTTTTACTGGTTCAGAAGGCAGGAGAGGGAAAGCCGACTTAGGAGCACTCCCTGTGTCTTGGTCAGTACGAACACGGTGGAGGAGGACATGCTTACAGACACAGATTTGCCATCGCTCTCGCAGGAGGGAGTGGGGGATCAGGCAGCCAGGCCAGTCTCTGCTTTTGTGTGTGATGCATTTTGCTTATTTTTTTACTCAACCTCCTACAGTGCTGAATCCACAGAATTATTCTTATTTCAATGTTAAGTGGAAGCCTAGGGGTTTAGCTGTCCCCACGGCTGGAGTGCAGGCTCCTCTGTTCTCATCAGTTGTGTTAATAGATGCCACATGGCTGAGGAGATCCTGGCTTTATGCTGTGATCTGTTGAGAGTGTGTGTGCCTGTGTGCACGCACATGTGTGTACACATTTCACAGCAGATTAAAGTAATTTATTTGTCTACCCATCGTTACTGCTTGCAGGGGGGCTAATTGAGGGGGACATCTCTCTATCAGGAACAGTGTGTTTTGTAGCTTTATCTGCCTGCAATTTGTATGTCAAAGATAAATTCATTTGCTCTCTTTCCACCAGGTGTGAACTCCTTCTTGGTTTACATGGCTTTCAAAGATCGCTTTCAGCTAACTGATTCTCAGGTAGGAAGGCTTAATGTTCACGTGCTTCTGTCACTGCAAGCTATGTATTAGTCTCTTACAAGGGTTTAATTTCAGTACACTTGGATCTGACATTCTCTTTTTATTTTGGTCTTTTTATGTGTAACAGTACCTAAGATTTGCAACAGTACCCTGAGCTCTGGTTTGAAGATTTTTTTTTTTAATAAAAAAAAACAACCAACAACAAACCCTGAAAGACTTGGCTGGGGAGAGCAATGGCAAAACTCTCGTTTTGAGAGATCTAAGGTTTTGTTCCAGCTCCTTTGGTGTGGAAGCAGTGGCAGTTTTATAAATTGCTGCTTTATGCCTAGGCGCAGAGCAGGACAGTGAGATCTCTGGCATAACTATCCTACATGTTTATAAGCTGAAACTGATCCTGGTCCAGAAGTGGGTTTCTGGCTTTGGCATTAGAATCGCTGGGACCTTAAAAAAGGAATTGCCCTCCCGTTTGCTCTTCTAGTGGGTACATTTGGGTACGTTTAATTGTTGAGATGGGCAGTTTATATTTCTAAATGTGGTGGGAGGAGAGGAATGCCTGGGAGTCATTTGGAACAGTGTAGGAGGCAGTGGTGTATGACAGTTATCTCTAATGACTCTGGTAAGCATTTTAATGAGTGACCACTGACGGAGCCAGCGTCAGTTGTGGGTTACTCAACCTGAGCCCTCTCAAACTGGTTGCTGGAGTGGGAAATCACACTGCTCCCGTCCCAGGCAGTGAGAGGGGTGGGTGCAGGTTCTTCATGAAAAGCAAATGTAAGTTTTTTTTTTTTCCATGCCAGGCACTAGTAAATGAAGGCATGAAAGAGGTACAACTCTGTGAGCTCCTTAAAATCACTCCAGATGTAGGCCTGTGCAGTTGCTGTTTCTTTCTCTAGCATAGTAAATATACCCAAACCTGGCTTTTGAGTAGTGCTGCTTTGCCATATCAGTAGCATCTGACTATACAGATTGGGAAATTTAGTTGTAGGCAGGAAAATGGATCATATCTATCCAGCAAACCACATCTTATATTTCTTAATGCTTTTCCATTCTGCAAAATTCTGTATGCTGAAGGAGTTTGGAGTGTATACTACATAATAGGTGTGTACCTGAGTGTACACTTGGGGTATATTTTACTGTATGGTTTTTGTCTTCCAGATATATGAGGTCCTGAGTGTAATCCGCGATATTGGTGCGACCGCTCAAGTGCATGCTGAGAATGGTGACATCATTGCTGAGGTATGTTATGTTTATTCTGTGGATTATTAACTTCAAAATGCTGGGAGGGATTTAGATTCTAAGTCCTTCTTTGCAAACAGAAAATCACCAAAACTTTTAAAAGCATGGCATAGCTGTATCAAGGATGCAAGCAGAGCTGTGCATCAAATCTCATCCCCTTCATTGTCACTGATAAAGCAGTTTTTCATGGCAGCTTTCAGTTGTGGTGGATATCGGCCATCCCTGCCTTTCTCCGCATAAGTGAAAGATTGTGTCTGGGTGTGACTGTCACGGCATACAATAAAATGTTCTGCGGTAACTAAGACCAGGGGGAGTGGGAAGGGAAATAGCTTCATACAGTACCTGCATGCTGACGTTTGGGATTGGTTCATCCTTTGAACAGCAACAAAGAAGAAATGTTAATAATGTATTTGGATTTAATCTGATCTCCAGCTCATTTTATACATTATGTCTCAAGCATGCAAAACTTGGTGTTGCAGAGGATTTCTGCACTGTCTGACTGGGGAAGTTGAGACTCAGACACCTGAGTCTTTGAGCCCAGTCACCTGCAGCTGCAGGATGATTTTTTTCATGAGGTACTGTTTTGCCACATCTTAAAAGATTATTTTATAGACACAAATGAGCAGTGAAAGTTGAGGGGCTATGAACCCAGTGTTGAAGCAAATCAAAATAAAAGGTTTCCCTGACCTCCTATGAACAAATCAGCAAGGGTTTTGTGAGCTCTGGTTATTCTCAAAAAGGGAAGCTGGACAGGGCTCTGGTTGTAAGGCCCTTAGGTAAAGCCCCATGTGATTATTAGCACAGATGCCTAGGATCTCACTTGTACCTCTTTCAAACAGCTGTGTTTGCTGCAAGAGAAAATGCTTGTTGCTTTAAATCTTTTTCCTGCTCTTTTTCCTCTCTGCCTTAGGAGCAGCAGAGGATCCTGGAACTGGGGATCACAGGCCCTGAAGGGCATGTGTTGAGCAGACCTGAAGAGGTGAGGACTTTACTGCCTTTGCATTTATTCCCTCCATTTATAACACTTCTGCATTGCCATCAAGTACTTCATATTGGGATGAATGTAGCCGGAAGCACGATTTCATCCTGGCTGTAAACTCTATTGCTGCATGGGGTAAGGGAAGAGGCTAAGACACTTCTAGGGACTAACTAGTAACTAGTCCCTTCTAGAGATTAACTGCTATGGGTACTTATGAGGACTTGAGGAGTCCCCTCAGCATCTGTACTGGAGAAGGGGACATCTCCAGGGAGTAATTCATCCAGCCTAAGATTTGATTCACCCTCTGGAAAACCTCATCTCTTTCTGTTGATTATCGGAGCTAGTCTATAAAGGCTCTGCTCACACATCAGAGATTTAAAGTGAGGTGAGATGTGTTTGAACCACAGAGCCCATGATAAGCATTTAACACAGGGAGCTGTTGGTACTTAGCACATCTTCAGTTCAGCCCTTTGATAGCCCAAACTGGAATCCTGCATTAGGAGGTGTAGAAAATGTTGAACCTGAAGCACAGGTAGAGCACAGTCTACCTGAATCACCAATCCCTTGATTGAGCTGCTGCACAGGAACACTTTAAGATGGAGTCCCTGAAGAATTACATGTTCTGATGATGTTGGTCTTTACGGAGGTAGACCCTGAAGTTCTTGGTAGTTTCCCGTCACTTTCAGTCGAGTTTTGCATGAGTAAAGCCTTCAGAATTTGGATTTATGTAGGCAGGATTCTGCCACTGACTTTTCTAGATCCCATTTCTTGGACTTCTCTCTCAGTCTTTACTTTATCAAGACTTCCTCTGAATCAGCAGAAATTTTTAATGTATGCCCAAATCCTGACGTTCTGTCTTAAGCATTTGTATAGCTTCCATTACCATAATATGTGATCATTTGATGAACATTTTACCGATGATGGGTTTTTCATACCAAGGGACTGAGTAGTTTGCTGAAGGCACAGAAAGTATGCACCAGAGAGGGGAGCTAATTCTCAGATCCTAGCCCAGCACTTTAATATAGTTAACCTCCATACTTCCCCACTGATTTCTCTAGGGTCAAGCAACCCAATCCCTCTCACTCCCTCTAAGTCTTTAAAATAAATCTCAAGGGTAAGAAAGAACCTTAAAACTTTGCTTTTCAGGTTGGTTCCCATTGCATTCTTCGTTTCCAGTCTTTCAGTGTCTCTAAGCTAGACATGTCACCATGGCATTCTGGGTTTGTGAAGTCCGTCTGTTATGTACAAGCAGTTCTTTTTGTTCGTCCAAGATACTGGGGCTTTGCTGACTGCCAGATGCGGCAGCTGGAAGCTGGGTGTGTGAGATCATCCACACGTGCCCCTCATGATCCCTCTCTATTTCCTCCCCTTGGTTCAGACAAGCAGCATCCAGAGACATTTCAGTAGGAATATAAATCATTCAGTTGCTTCATGCAGAAGGGGGGAAAAATGCTTGACTTGGGCAGTATGTGAATCCTCACAGAATTTGAGTTTGGCTCCGGGAGCTGGGATTTTTTGCTTCCTGGAAGTTGTGAGCAAACACTTGCACTGAGCCTTCCACCCACCCACTCCTGCATTCATTTTTTTTAACATATTTTTTAGCTTGCATCAGGAGAGCAGGAACAGATGCCGACATGACGCTTGGGGCTCATCTGTGGAGCACCCCTAAACTTTTGTTGACTTCAAAGGAAGGCTGCTCCTTACCTTGAAGGATCTGGCTGTCAAACTAGCCAAGTTTTGTCTGGCTACTTCAAAGCTCATCCTTAGTAGAGCAGGAGCTTTAAAGTATGAACTGTGTGAACTGGTGTGGCTCCCTGGCTTCGTTGGTCTGTTACATCTGTCTCCTGCACTTTGCAGAAATGTGTTCTTCCTCAGCATAGCAAGGAAGGCTGCCTGAGGACATGTGGCTGCCTCAGATGAGGATCAGTAGAGCCTCTTCCCGCTGTCACTGGGCAGCCTCTGTGCAGCTGAACTCAGCTGTGCTGTCTTGCCCAGAGTGGAAGCACTTGGTCCAGAATTCTCCTCCTTTAACGTCATAGAAAACAGAGCAGGAAACGATGTCATCTGGTTCCTTCCCCTCCTTTTCTCCAACGCGGGAGTAACTTCGTGTTTTTAAAAACATACAACTCCCTTTAAGCTGGCTGATGACAAAGGCCAGATTCTGAGGGTGGCAGCAGATCCATAATTCCTGTTGACTTCAGTAGGAGCAGATGTTTCTTTGTGTCCCTCTGGGTTGCTGTTAACCCTAGAACTACCTTTTCATGCTGCCCTTTACGGAGCGTAAAGCCTGTCCTAAGGACTTCATGATGGTTGTCATCTTAAGAGCTGCTTAATTCAGACCTCCATCTACAGCAAACTAGCAGTTGTTGAACAAGTCTAAAATGCTTACTAAATCAAAACTCCCACTCAATTCAGTGAGACTTACGTCAGAGTGAAGCATTCAGGGTCTGGCCATGTGCATTTGTGTCTTACTTGGAGCGTACGCATCTTCTGAATTCCCAGGTTGATCAGAAAGCATAAATTAAGGCTTAGGTTTCACTGCTGACTCATGGGTTTAGCTTGCTCACCTCAGTAACCTGGGTTGAGCCATGGTGACGGTATTCAGCACGTTGTTCCAGCCAGCAAAGGGAACCTTAATTAAGACATCACCATCCCAAGTCAGCATCATCAACGCTTTCTGGAAAACTCTTTCCCCTCATAGCTCAGATCATTCTGTGATGACTTTTCGGAGCGATCCATCATTTTTTGTTTTTATTTTAGCCACAAAAACGCTGAAAGCACAGGCAGTCCAAGTGCTCCAGGAAATGTCTGTCTTTTTTTCCAAGAGAACTGCTGTGCTAGGGCTTCTAATGCATGCTGGTAATTGCAAACATTCCCCTTTGGACTAGTCGTTGGGTTATTGTTATGTGCCTGTCACCATAGCATCTGGGCACAAGGCATTAATTCAGTGGCCTTGTTCTCTTCTGTGCAGAAAATATTCTCCTCCTGCTTAGCAGTTGCTCAAATGCCTTTTGGTCAAAAGCCTGGAGATGCATGTTGTTTTATCCCTGCTTTGCAAGTGGGGAAACTAAGGCACAGTGTGGAAACGTGACTTCCAAGTGCTGCAGTGACAGAGCTGTGTGCAGGCCTGCTTTAAATGTGCAGTTTGCAAACTGATGCCACTGCCTGGAAGCACTGGCCTGTCTGAGTTCTCTCTTTGTCTCTCAGGAGGGACAAGTATGCTTTTCTTGGCTCATCCTTTCAGCCTCCGTCTTCCCTGCAAGTGCTGCTGGCTGTGGCATGCTCGAGTCAAATGTCCTGGAATAAACACCCTTCCTTGCAGCCTTTTCCATTTGCATGGGGCAGCTGGGCCAGAAAATGTCCCCTTCTGTACATCACCCTGCCTGGGGAGGGTTAGGCACAAGCCCTGGCATGGTGACAGGCCAGGGCTTTAACCCTTTTGGCACTAGGGACCAACCTGCTGGCTCTGGGGGGCTGGTTTTCTTTTAAAAACTCCCAGCTGTTGTTGTGTTGTTTTTCTTGAGCAGTCCAGCTGCAAACAGAGCGGTGTTACAGGTGGTGGCTTTGTCAGCGTGAGCAGAGCTGTTCAGGCCACTTGGACATCGGTGTGGCGAATACACCGTTTCCTAAGCTGGTGGGTCCTTAATTTCAGGTACTTCTTTCAGTGGATCAAGCACAGTGCTAGAAGCCAGCAGTCAATGCGTTCTGATTCTGGGACTGATGATGGTTTTACAGTGCTTGCCCTGCCATAAGTCATTGTAGAGCAGATTTTCAAAAATGCTGAGCCTGTGCCAATCCCACTGGAGTCCACGGGGGGTGCTGGTGGCCTCTTGCATTAGGGAATCAGGTGGCTGATTGCTCTGGGTTTCAGTTTCCTCTGTTGTTCGCTTGGAAAAGTCTGTGGTATTGCAGGCTCAGTTCTCCATGGTAGCAGGCACTATGAGCATTACCCTGTTGTTAAATCTGTCATCTGGACTGCTTTGATTAGGATGTGTGATCTGTAAAAGTGTGCAGAGTGATTATGTTCATTCTAAGACTGTAGTCATAAAGTGACCCTCAGTCTTGCTGAGGTTATCTCTCTACACATGCAAGAAAAAGTAGTTGATTTATGGGGTGGTTCACACTCTGCCAGATCCCAAGCCAGATATCGTAGTGGAGGGTACAATTTAGGAGGCTTGTTTGCAAACGTGGCTTACCAGAGTATGTGGCTACAGCATCTCTCTTCCGCCTGGGCTGGAACATGAATAGTTTTGTTGAGTCAACATTTAGTTGCTTTTTTTTGTCTAGGTTAAAGAAGGGCCTTAATCATTCTGACCTTGAGCACCTGGAGTGTTATTTTAGGACTTAGTCTGCTTGCAGAGAAACTTTGAAGCAGCCTGGGAGAAAAGGTAGTAAAGAGAGGGGACTACAGCTTGATGTCGTTTTAATTGTTGTGATGACACTGCGCATTTTTCTGGCTCAGAATCGGAGAGGTGGAAAGTCTCTCATCTCGGCCCTGCACATCCTGTTTTCCCGTGAAAGCAGAGGCGGTGACCCTCTGAAGGTGAACGGGATATGCTAACATGTGGGGATGCTACTAACTTGCTACTGACTTTGTTTCCCAGGTGGAGGCAGAGGCTGTGAACCGGGCAATAACCATCGCCAACCAAACCAACTGCCCCCTTTATATCACCAAGGTGATGAGCAAAAGTGCTGCTGATGTCATTGCTCAAGCCAGGAAAAAGGGTGAGTTATTTCCCTTGGATGGAAGCACCCTATTAGCTCATGCAGTTCAACTCCTTGCCAGCATAAGCTTCATCCCAACAGGAGAGGTTTCTTTTTCCAGCGTTACTGTCCAGGCTCTTTTTTAAAAGGTCCCAAGCAACTGCTTCTGTCTCATCTCCCACAGACAAGTATTCAGTGGTCGTATCAGTGCCAGGAGCTGGTTCTTCTGTTCAGCCTAGAGTGCCTCTCTTCACACTCATCCTCCCACATTGAGCCGTATGCCTTCATGTTACTGCAGAGTAATTCCATGCTGCCTCCATTTAATGAACCCCTCTGGAGATTGCAAGCTGTGTCCTCCTTCCAGCTGCTGTGGTCTTTCCTTGGTGCTTTCTACTGAGCTGCTTCCTGGGGTCAGAAGTGATTCCAAGAGTGCTGACGGAGGTCTCTGACTCACGAGACCTGTTGGATTTAGTTGGAGTAGCCAAAGAGATTACCAATTCCAGCTATGCTCTGTGCTCCTTGCTTGTGAAATAGATACTCCTCATGTGCTGTAACTCACAGCCTGGCATCCGAACAGGGATTGGGATCAGCAGTCTGGGTTAGCCTGGGAATTGCAATCACCTCTGATAATTCTGCCCAAGGATGCTGCAAGAAGCAAGACTCAGACCTGGGGTGGATGCTGCTGCCTTGTGTCTCCTTTCTCTAACCGAGGCCTGTGAGGGAGCTGAGCTGCTCTGAGTGATGTAGTAGCTTCTCCCGAGTCCTGACCCTGCTGTCTTGCCCGCAAGGAGCAAGGGTTACAAAGCACAGTGAGTGCCTGTCTCCCTGCTTTATTCTGTGTCTAAACCCTTCATTTCTATTTAAAGCGGCTCTGAGTGGGTGAGTAAGCAGGAGGGATGATTTTCCCCCTTCTTTCCTCAGAAGGGTTGGATTTAATTTTATGCAGTCTAAATAAGCCTGAATGGATATACAAATGACATCACTTTCCATCTGGGTGTTTGGGGTGAGAAGAGCTAATTTCCTACCACAGCAAACAGATTTATGTTTGTGTATTGGCTCAGAAGTATTTTGGTCCCATGACTCCTGTTAAATGAGTTCAGAGTTGATGAGGAGGATTGATTTCCAAGGCATCTCTTTCTGTTCATGGCGTGGAAGCGGCTCAAGCTGTTTGGGATAAACCTTCTCCTAGCTCCATTAGTGGAGATCATGCTGAAATGAGAAGATGTGTTGACATGCAAAAGTGGCTGCATGTTGCATTACCCCAGAAAACAACTTGATGTGGCTGGGCAACTCAATCCTATAAGCCAGGGAAGCATCCCTTCCTTTTTGTAGGTAAAGTATTGGAGACATACGCACCACAGAGATGCAGGATCAACAAAACCACTCTCTTCCATGCTTGCTGTCTTCTGTGACCACTAGGTGGCAAGTAGATACAGGAGCATTGGGATGAGGGACCATACACTTACATTGCAGAAGCCGTAAAACACAACCTGACTTGGGTGGGTGTTACCCTGCCTGTGAAAGGTGCTGGGATTGTCCCAGATGAATGATCCACAAAACTCATTACTTAGCCTCCTGAGTGAAGTGGCATACATGGTTTTCATTCACATTGCGTTTTCTCCTTATAAGGAGAATTTGGGGTAAAAATGGCATGCCATTCTCTGTTCCTTTATTTAAATAATTCAATTTAAATGCTGTGCAGTTACCCAACTGGTTAACCCAGGAGGGCCACACACACTGGCCTTGCCCTCCCAAGCAACAGAGGAGACATAACTGAAGACTATCCAAGGCAAAAACAAAACAGAATTGATTTGCTAAATGGAAAAGAACGAATGTTATTTAAAGCCAGATGTTCCCAGTGGCATTTGTATGGAGGAGATTCCCTGCAGACTCGGTCATTGGCAGATCTGGGAGCTTAAAACATCACTCCCTGCAGAACAATCCTCCCTATGTATTGGCCCACAACAGGCCTCCCGTTAATAGCCAGCGTGTGTTTTGCCTTGTTCTGATTTTGTAACCCTATTTGTGGCAAGTGATGTCAGACAGCCTTTTCCTCTGCTGGTGGATCCCCTCTGACAAAGGCTGTTCCTACACCTTCTGTTCCAGTGTGGTCCTGGAAGCAGCATGAAGCCAGTTAATGCATCTTTCTGTCTTTCGTCCTCAGCTAATGCACGCTCTCCCAGCTAGCTTGAGAGCCTACAGACATAGCAGTAGCTCAGACAATATGGCGAAAGAAAGATCATATTTTTTTTTACTCTGCATGATGAGGTGTGTAAGACCCTGCTGACCAGTTCTGGGGTTGCCTTCGCCAGTCTTTTCTGACTGAAGTATTTAGGGTTAGTATTTTAACTACCCACGTCTTTTGCAGGCAGATACAAATACATGAAGTGTCTGGGCTCAGAAGCCAGATGGATAGGCACTTAACAGAGATTTCAGGAAGGTTGCATTTGGTGAGCAGATCTGTGGGGCTACCAGCCTGCACCGCTTTTGAAGTTGCAGCATCTTGCATCTGCTTGGTGTGCAGATGTTGCTGGTGCATTCCAGCTTGCAAAGTATCATGGCCTTAAGGATCCGCTGTTCCTTCATGTGGTTCCAAAAATGTTAATGAAGAGGAAGGATGCACTGGTAGTTAGTGCACTGGACAGAGAGTCAGAAGATCCAATTTAATTTCCTAGTTCTGCCACAGATTTACTGTGTACCCTCGGGGGAATCACTCGGTTTCCCTGAGCTGCATTTGTGAACCAGAAACACTGATACTTCCTCTGTGATAGGCTTTCTCTGTAGGCAGGAAACTTTTCTGTTAGGAGTTTTCTCTTGTCTGATCTATGCGCAGAGCCTGCTCCAATAAGACCAGCCTTGTTAGATCTTTAATACACACACATTTATAAAAATATCGCAGGCGCTATGTTTTTTCTTTTTCTTCCACCATCCCTTTTGTATCACACTGGATCTTTCTCATGCTCTTGCAGTTCCCCTCAGCCTCTTTCATAAGGTTCTTGGCCCAGGATATAATACAATGAATCTTTACAGTAACCCTTTCAAGCACAGTTAATCAGCACTGACCTCAGCAACTGTGTAAGGGCATTGTGCACATTTTGCTGCTCCATGCTCTTACCAGTAACGGTATCTTTATTATTAACTCAGATATTTAGATGTTTGGATACTTATTTCAAGGGACTGATTTTTGGAGAATGCTCAGTGTTTCTTTAGAGATCTTAAGACAGGCATATAAAATTAAGAGCTTGCTTGTGAAAACATGCCCTTAGTAACATAATATAGTTCAAGGAGCATTGAACAGGCCAGGGTTTTAACGATGTCTGATCATCTGGTTATGCAGGCCAGTGAATTCAATCCAATGTTCCGTCTCTGTGATCACATACTTAAGAGGAAGTACCAAGAAACCGTGCAGCTTGCAATGCTGGCATTACTTACCCAACTTGTCCTGTTTCAGAAGGATGCTTTATGCCTGGAAGCCAGGCTGGAGATGCATGTTGCTTGGTGCTCACAGTAGATTTGCCTGTATTCCTGTCCTGTAGGCACTGTGGTATATGGAGAGCCCATTACAGCCAGCTTGGGTACCGATGGATCTCATTACTGGAGCAAGAATTGGGCTAAGGCGGCAGCTTTTGTTACTTCCCCACCACTGAGTCCTGACCCAACCACTCCTGACTTTCTCAACTCGCTATTGTCCTGGTGAGTAGAGTTCTTTGTGTTGAAGAAGCACCCGCTGTGCTTCATCATGAGACAAGTGGGTGATAACAATAATAGCTGTTGTTGCCAGCAAGCAAAAGGCTGTTTTACCTTTAGGAGTAAACCTGTGACAATAAAGTATCTTACTTTATTAAAGTATCTTATCTTATCAATACCTGTCATTGTCTTTTCCAGTGGAGACCTCCAAGTTACTGGCAGTGCCCACTGCACCTTCAACACTGCTCAGAAAGCTGTTGGGAAGGACAACTTTACCCTGATCCCTGAAGGAACCAATGGGACTGAAGAGAGGATGTCCATCATCTGGGATAAGGCTGTGGTATGTCACACGTTTCATAAGCTTAGGCTGCAATTAGACATTCAGAGCTGAAAGAGCTGCAGCAGTGTGTTATCATCTCCCCCTGGATGCTTGTTATGGTCCTTCCGCTTGAGGTTTTTGCCCCTCTAGAGGTCATTGGGAATCTGCTGTGCTGTCAGCTATTTGCTTTTCGGAGTGGTCCCCACCTGGCTAATGCAGTGACTCCTTTTGTCTTTCCCCAGGTGACTGGCAAGATGGATGAGAACCAGTTTGTTGCTGTGACCAGCACAAATGCAGCTAAAATCTTTAACCTGTACCCACGGAAGGGCCGTATTGCAGTGGGCTCGGATGCTGATCTGGTTATCTGGGATCCTGACAGCGTCAAGACAATCTCTGCCAAGACTCATAACATAGTAAGGATATTTTCTACGATGTGAGCTCTGCTGCTCATTTCCTCTTCTCTTCCTTCAATGCCAGACTGTGCTGCCAAGAACTAGAGCTCATGACAACTCAGGGCTTTGTTTTCTCAATGCCCCAAGCCTTCTCTGGTCTTACACCCAGTACAGCTCAGTTGTGTGAGCAGAAGGGAAGACGATTGAGTCCAAATCTTAAATCACATGAATACCCAGAGATTCCCCTTGGAGCAAAGAGCTTGTCTACTCTTTCTGAGTGTTGGATGCTTGGATCTGGGCACACAGAAAGCTCTTTAAATCTTCTAAAATATCAAAAGGCCTCTTATCACAATGTATCATTTATGATCCCTGGCTCGCTAGCAGTGGCAATGTCAATGCCCGTTTTCTCTTTTGGGGTCAGTGAAGCTTGTCAGCTCGTGGACACCTTTGCTGGAGATCTGATCCAGATCAATGAGTCTGAGTGGATTTACACCACGTACTGATCTGGCACACATGCCTGGAGTCATGCTTAGACATGATTTTACTGGTGATCATCCCAATGATAGTTGGCACAGGGAGGCAGAAGGCAGCACTCAGACTAACCAGACGTTCCCCTTGTTTCTTCTGCGGCTTTGTGGTGGCACTGTTAGAGGCACTGTTTGCTTGTGGCCCACAGCTGTTTCCCATATCTTATACCTGGCTCCTACAGTGGAAAAGTTGTCCCACCCTGTGGGAAACTGCAGAATGGTCCCAGTGCAAAGGGCTGGTTGGAGTCTCCCTGTGACATTCGAGCACTGTCTCCAGAGAAAGCAACCACTGTTTGCATTTGTTGATGACTTGTTTCACTGCTGGCGATGAACCTATGGAATGTTTCCCTGGAAAAAAACTCCTTGTTCTTTTTTCCGTGAATGCTTTCATTCACTCTGGAGCTGAAGGAGCAAAATTTTCTTCCACGCTTGGATCCCTGGGCACATTCACAAAGAAACTTTTTTTAAAGGTTTGGTTCACTTCCCTGTGACTTAACTCTGTGTCAGAATTGGTCACAGATGGCCTGGATTCATCCTGCCTGTGCTTAGACTTCTAACAGGGACAACCAGGCTCAGAAGTCTGGTCACTTCAGTCACCTTAGAGGTGCTTCCAGACTCATCACACCTCCAGTCTGGAGAGGAGTGACTTAGAGGAGGGAGCCCAGGGACATATCGCTATTAGGTGCCAAATTTAGTGGTCTGAACCTGGATTTGTGCTTATGAATGGCTCAGAGAGCTGGAAGTAGCTTGCTGGATGGAATATTTGAAAGTCATTGCCATTTAATGGCTCTTGTCTTTAGGAAATGAATTGGACTCTTTAAATTTCCTAACACAAAACTCAGAGACTTTATCTTTTGTGGATATGCTGCAGTACAATCAGGATTGACTCCATGATTTTGCCATAGATCTGGGCTAGGCTGAAAGAGAACCAGGTCCACTGTGGAACGACCATTCAGAAATACTTTATACGCTAAGGACTGCAGAGCCCCTGAAACTCTTGCACCGTTTAAGAGGCCTCAGCACTCAATGATCAGCTGTTGCCCAAGGCTGCATCTTGAAGCTATGCCAAGACTATGGAGGATGAAGGGCTCTCGTTTTCAAGTGGTTTGTTTAGAGTTTGAAGGGCTGTCTAAGAAATTGCAGCTTTTTTTCTTACACGTCCAGCTCTAACCTCTTCCCCTGTCATTGCATCGCCTGTTATACCTGGCGTTACACCTGTTGGGGTATTTTTTTGTGTCTCACGCTGCATGTGTGCCTTGTGTTAGAGAAAAAATTGATAGGAGTGATGCCTTTACAGTCAAGGCATCCTAGTTTGGTCAAGTGTAGAACAAAAGCCCCTTTCAAAGTCAGGCAGAGCAGTTGCTGCGACACAGGGAGACGTAGTGATTATGTGGCATCGGATGATTGTTACTTTTTTTAATGCTAGAGCAACATACGGATATTGTCCAAGAATTCACACTGCTCTTGCCACTGTCTGGCAAGGAAACATTAGGAGCTAGAGAGGGAGATAGTGTTGTTCTTGGAACCAGCCTAATTCATAAGCTTCTAACCAAGCCGCCTCCTTTGCCACCACAACTTTTTTTTCAGACTGGACCTGGTTCAGTGTCAGTTTAACCGCCATTCTAGCTAATTGTAAATCTGCAGTCAAGCCTACCCATACTTACAACACACTTCAAGAGCAAACTCCATTATTAACTCAGCAAAAAAGACCTGGATTTGTCTCAGAGATGGTCACTAGAATAACAGTCCCCAAATAACATGGTTGTAGTGCATCTCATTCCAGGATACTTCGTGGGTGGGACATTTACCAGTGATTCCTTTAAAACTTGTCTTTTTTCCATGGTGTAATGTTTCCAATCCTGTTAATTGAGGATGAGCAATCCCATTAGACTAAAACAAGATTGTCCTGGTCCCTGACCCATCAACCAAAACACTGGTTTGAAATACAGCTTTTCAAAATAATCATTATTTTTAGTATGAAACTCAGAGAAAACTTTATTTGGCTCCTAAATCCCCCGCAATTCAGAAGAGATAGGTGCCTAAATGCATTTAAACAGGTAGGCTTTGAGATATTCTCATTTGAAACTGTATTTCCTCTTTAAGAATCTTGTTGCAGTGGAAATTTTGCATGAGTAAATCCTTAATAAAGTTAGACTGATAATAAAGACCAGCCTTTCTATTAAACCACAGCATGTACAACTCAGGTAAATGCTGTTGAGTTTGCTTCCTTAAAATTTTGGCAATTAGCATGACTGGTGATTGCTAATTAAAGCACAGCAGGCTTTGCTGGGCTGAGTACGTTTGCCTCATGTTGTGTTTTTGTTTGTTCTAGTCTCTGGAGTACAATATCTTTGAAGGCATGGAGTGCCGTGGGTCTCCCCTGGTGGTTATCAGCCAGGGGAAGATCGTGCTGGAGGATGGGAATCTCCATGTCACCGAGGGATCTGGACGGTATATCCCCAGGAAACCGTTCCCTGACTTCGTTTACAAGCGCATTAAAGCAAGGAGCAGGGTAAGTATAAATGGTTGGATGCACATTTGTTCTCTCACTGAAACTCCTGAGTTAAAGCGGGTGGAAAACAGATGCTATCCCCTGGCTCGCAGACACACACTTCTGCAACAGAAAATGTTCCCTGGATAGGAGCCATATTTATCTCATTCCTCTTTCATTTTTGTTATTCGCTTGAGTCATTACAGGAATATTCTTTGGCTTGAGCTTGGATTTTCTGCAAATTTTATTTTTCTGCTCTTTAATTCTTCTGTGTCTTGGGACACCTAGACAGAGCGTGTGTCCAGGAACTGTCCAGTTTGGACATGAGTCAATCTGCAAATAACCCGGCAGGCTTCTCCTGTCAAAGAAGTACCAGGAGAAGTTATTGATAGCATTTATATATCAAACCTTTCAGCAACAATTCAGAATTCTCATTTATTGTTATAGATACATTATGCTGCTTTCCCTTCTGTCAGATATGATCAGATGCTCTTGTCTGATGACTGGTGAGTCACAGGCACAGCCTACTGACTGTTTAAAAGTGAGACTTTTCTATTTTTAAGAGGCTAAAATTGTTGGAAAAGTGTTTTTGTAAAACACACACATTCAAAACAGAAACTGCCTTTTGATATGCCTTTAGTTGGTAAAAACTGCCAGAGAAGATGACACTGAACTCAGCTGCAACTTAGTTGCTGAGAATTTAAGAAGTTTATTTCTAGATGAAGGCAGATTTCTGAGGAGAAAAGTATTTTGATGTTTTAAGTGTTGCCCTCTCCTGGACAAAAGCAGAGCTGTGTTAGTTCTGCTGACCGTAGGTAATCTTCACATTCCTTGCAAATGATCTTTCCTTAATTGTTCTTTTGAAGAAATTGCAAGTTACCAAAATTACAACCTCAAATAATTTAGCACCGCAGAGAACAGATCTGTGGTTTCTTTTGTGTTCTGGTCTCCCACAGAAATATGTGTCTGACCTGTAAATCCAATTGGGCAGCATCTCAACTGGAATAATTGCATTTAACCCAATCTAAAGCTCCCAAGCTGGCGATGTGAATCTAGCCTGGCTCCTCTTTATGCAGACCTGCCTCTGCCTCAGCACTGTTTTGCTTTTTGGAGATGAGTAATAAGTTTCATTTGAGAGTTGTCAGGAGCCTTTAATACAACAGCAGGTAGGTTGACATCATTAAAGGACAGAACTTGCGGTGCAGGGGACAGACTGGCTGTCTTCTGTGGGCTGCTCACACCAGCTAGCAACTACCTGGAGCCACAGCAGTCCAGAGCGCATTTCAGTTTATCCATGCTGCTTCAGAGACCAGCTACCACCCAGGGATCGGCACGGAGGAGATGATGTACACTTTCAAATCCTCTTACTGAAGACAAATCTTGAAATGTGTATCTTTGGCTTAGCAACATCTGGCCAGCTGTTTAGTTCTGTTTTGAAGGCTCTTTTGACCCTGAAGGCTGCTTGCTTCTGTGTTTTGCAGCTGGCTGAGCTGCGGGGTGTGCCTCGAGGCCTCTACGACGGACCTGTCTGCGAAGTGTCAGTGACACCGAAGACGGTCACACCAGCATCTTCAGCTAAGACATCTCCTGCTAAACAGCAGGCCCCACCCGTGAGGAACCTGCACCAGTCTGGATTCAGCTTGTCTGGTACATGCTTCTGTGGGGCTAAATTGCTTTGAAATCATGGCTTGTTTATACTCCCATACTCTGAATTAATTCCGCTGAAATTGGAAGGCAATGAGAGAGACTGTGATGTGTTTTTAGCTTGGAGGTTATCCCTTTAGAAAGGAAGAAGAGCAGTACAGGAGCTATCGTAAAGTCCTGCTTATTTTCATGCCGTGGCATGAATGCTGAGTACCCCGTTGCGTTGTGGGCTCGGTCCTCGGCCGGGTGTCTGAAGAGGGCAGATGGCACCAACTTAGGTGGAGCTTTGCCAGCTGAGACCAGCTGTGGATCTGGTATGTGGCAGATTTGGTTTCTCAGCGTGCTGTTTCAGTGCAATAAGGGAAAACTATGAAAAGGAATAAAAAGGCTCACTAGTGCAGAGTTGTTAATGCAGAACAGGTTTCAGCAGAATTAAGGCACTGGAGGCCAGTAAGGGCTTTTCCTCCAAAGATAATACATTTTGGTGCACACGGTTGGAGCCTGGCCTAAGAGGACTTGATGGGTTTCAATGCAGCTGTGCTCTCCTGAATCCCTTGTCTTGCAGCTTGCTCATCTCAAACTCTCGCTGGCCTGGGGGATCTGACGTTGCTTCTCTCTCCCGCAGGGGCACAGATCGATGACAACATCCCACGCCGCACCACTCAGCGCATCGTGGCACCGCCCGGCGGACGTGCCAACATCACCAGCTTGGGCTAAGGACCGACCCCTTCTGTGCCCGCCTAGCGGACCAGGGGACGGGGGCACCTGGAGACCCTTTTTGATTCTTTTAGAGCCTGTGACAGTTACTGCGGGCAACCAGTGAGGGGGGGCTGAAGTAAGGCACCTCTTTCAGTCCCCTCAGATTCCCTCCTCATCTTCACCAACCCCTCTCACTTCCCCCCTCAGCCCCTACACATTTAAAGAAATAAACCCTGTTTTGACACCTCTGACATGCAAAAGTAAATGTAAAGAGGATGTTTGAGATATGTGGCCTCTGTCCCATTCAGCATCTTTCTTTTAATAAAGGAAGGATAAAGTGAATTTCCCGGGAGCTGCCTTTAAGACACACACAAAAAAGGAATCAATAAATAATAAATGTAAAAAATAGCTTTTTTTTTTTTTTTTAATGTCAAGCAGAAGAGTAGTTCAAGGGTTTTAAACTGGATATTCTATAGGGTTCTGTGTTCCAGCAGAATAGCTAGGCAAGCATGGAGGGACACGAATCCCAGCCTGTCTGTAACCATTCCCCACCACCGCCTTTGAGGTCACTGTATAGCTATCTGCTGCCAAGAGAGAGAAACAGGATCCAGCACTAGGAATTGACAAAGCGCATCGCACCCAGCCATCGGGTGAGCTAGAATCGTTGGGGACTTTGGTTCTGTTGGGTTTTTTCATTATTTTTTTTTTTCCTTCTGGATTTTGCTGCGACTTAGGTCCTTGAGGAAACTTTTTTTTTTTTTATTTTGTGTGTGTGTTTTTAATATGTTTGTATCATTGTGTTTACGAAGCCTTACCTGAGAACTGGGGATCTCCCTGTTCTTCCCGGTCCTTCCCGAACCTCATTCAAGTTACAGACTCCCGCCAGTGTCACTGCCGCCCTGGTACTTCAGGTATTCCTAGGTTGCATCATTCCAGCCAACGCTTGCCACTTAGCTGCAATAGGAGGTTACGGAGCAGGTTCATAAGCTATGATCTTCACTTCAGTGTACTAGGTCTTGAGCTGGTGCAAACAAAGGGGCTGGATTACCAGCTGAGGAGCTGGGACAGAGTTTCTTGACAAGTTTTTAGCAGTTAGTTTGTCTTCTGTTCCTGGAGGTGGAACTCAATAAGCAGGGGGCCATGGGCAAAGAGCAACATGTTGCTTGAATGATTTCTGTAGCAGCCACGTTCCCCCTTCCTGGCCATCAATGAGTGGTTATTTAAAACTTTATGAGAGCTTATCTTTAGCTCTCATCGAAAGGCCGGTCAGTTGAGCGTGTGCCTTCAAGTTACAGACTATTCCAATTTGAGTCCAGAGGCCCAGCTGTTGTAACTGGGAGCCTCAGAGCAGCTCGATGGGTCAACAGCAGCTGAGAATCTCTCATACACGGGGCGAATTTCACAGTCACTCATTCCTTCAGGAATCTGCCTTTGTGCAAATACTCATGAGAAAGCCTGGTGGTTCCCCACCCTTCCTCAGATGCCTGCCACCTCAGATTTGAGAAACCAGAGGCCGTGAGTGGTCCTTGAATGAATTTAGGAGCCCCAGCTTCTGTGGCAGTCAGTGGGATCTGGGCATTTAAGTATCTTCTGGCATTGAAGGTCTTCTAGCCCTAGTATTGGAGGCTCATTATTTTCAGGACATGGAGAAAAAATCTGCACCATTAGATTCCCACTTAAACTTAGCTGGAGGGCTCGGCGGTCCCAAGGACTTGGCCTGTCTCTTAGCACAGAGAGCTTTTCTACCCGCAGTTAACACAGCATTACCTCCACTGTCTGTATGCCCTGGCACTTGGCTGCATCTTCTGCTTTCTCTTCTATTTGTACTTTGCCACGTACATTGACCTTGTTTTTCCGTATTTGTGAGTATTTTCTTAAATGCTGTTTACAGGTCCTTTTAGGGAAAAAAACTATATATATGAAGGCTTTTAAGAAACAAGTACCAAATTTTTTGTTATGAAGTATCAATGCTGGGATTTGCAAAGGATCTGGAAGCTATGTAGGTACCCAAACCCTCCCAGCTTCAGCACCTAATTCCTTTAGGCCCCTTTGAACACAGAAGTTAAGAAAAACATTGCCATATTCATCCATGCATTTTGCATTTAGGTTTAACTCTTGGGTCTTTTAGTTTTGCATAAAAGAGTTTGCACTTTGTTTGTTAAGTAATCCGTGAACTTAATATATATTGCAGCTATTTTCATTTTTTTCACCTATATGTTAAAATCAATTTGAACGAGTTGGGGAGAAAAAAAAAAAAGAATTGCAGATCCGTTTCAATTCTACGAAACACTTGCGGCTCTTCAGTATTCACTTAAGTCTTCCTTTTTTTTTTCCTTCACTGACTCATGATGACTTTTTAGTTTTAATTTGTTCTTCAAAAGGAAAAAAAAAAATCACAAAAAAAGATTTTTGCAGGCTATGTAAGCATGTTTTTTCCTGTGAGAGCTCGTCTGCTTTGTGTCTGTTTAATGAATGTCATATGTAAATGCTTAAAGAAAAAAAAAGACGATGACTTAATTAATTAATTAACCGCAGTGACTTGAAGCTCTAAAAATAAAAAGTAGGATTTAATACTAGCTGGATTTAACCCTTGGATTTGTGATTGTGAACCATGAGTGGAGGAGCTGTAAGTGCTAAAGCTGATCATGTGTGTAGACAAAAAGAAGTACTGATATTTGACCATTGTCTCAATGGCAAAAAATCCCCACCCCAACCCCAAGTCTTGTGTTTTATTCCTTAAGAACTCTGTGTTATATTACCATGGGAACTCCTAATAAAGACAAAATGTTGTTGTTTCACTAGGTGCATCTGTGTCTCAAGGTGATAAGTGTTCTGTGTAACTGCGTACCTTGGCTGGTGCCTTCAACAGATAAAAACACTGAGCTCTGAAATCGGTGCTAATGTAGGCTGATGGTAGTCCTGTGTAGGAGTGAGATGTACAGTAGCCACGGTTCCTTGGAAGATGGTGATGGTAAAGAGGAATCAATGGTCCATGGTGTGATTTCCTTAGAGAAAAGCAAGCCTCTTCTCAGGGCAGTTGTCTGTTTAAGGCAGTATTTGGCAAAGCAGAGACATTTGCCTGAAAAGTCCTGGCTCTGCATTGCAGAGATCACTGATGAAATGCGAGCAAAAAAGAAGCTAAAACTATTGGCATAGCCCTCAGCCCTCCAATGTGTTTCTACTTGGACCCTCGTAACAGCGGTGGAGGAGGGGAGAGAAAGTACAGCCGTAAATAGAAGCCACACACAGATAACTGAATGGGGAGTGTTAGAGCTGGCTGGAAAAATGCCAGTGAAACTTGTGGTGGTGGTGGTTGGGTTTTACTGTCGCAGAGATGCTGTGAGTGAGATTGCATCGGATCGTGGGAAGGCCTCAGAAAGAGCCAGCATCGCTGTCAGCCGCTCAGACCGTTGGTTGCTGCATCCCTACATCCACCAGATCAACCCTCTCGGTGGTCTTCCCCCAAATCCGTGCACAGCTGGAGTTCGCAACTGACTTTGCAGTGATGTTTAGCTCTTGTTCCTCATCTGAACAAAATCAAATGTTTAAGCACTCTGTGAAATGCAACGAGCTTTCTCCACACAGCTTTAAACCTGGCACCCCTATCCAGTGGGAAGTTTTAAGAGGGTTTCCTTTTTTATCTGTTGAGGGGGGCAATGGTCATCCACTAATAAAAAGACTTCTGGTTAATGTGGGGGTCGTGGCTCTGTCACCAGTGACATGCAGTTATTTGGCTACTGGCAGCTTAAGTTAGATATTAGCATATATGCAATCAAATCCCTTAGAACAGTGTTGGTGGGTAGCTGTGCATAGGATTTATTAGCTTGTCCCAACAATAATACCTCAGTGAAAGATGCATTCCGCCTAAAGCACTGGTGTTTAGTTAACACACATCCGCAGACACTCCATTTGTTTTTATTCTATCATTATTTCTTCCTCCAGCACCTAAATTGGAAAGAAAGAAACCTCTTCCCCAGGAAATCAATTCCAGGGACTCGGTGAACCTGGTCGATGTTGGAACAGGCCAAAAAATATCAACCGAAGCGTATAGAAGTTTTTGAGGTCAGGGAGAAGTCGTCAACAGCCAGATCTAAAGCTAATGTATACTGAGGAACCAAACCAGTGAGAAATGTCAGGAAGATATTCAGGTCAGTGGGGCAGTGCTGGTTGGCTGCTACAGAAGAGCACAAGAATAGCCATATTTTGTCAACCCGTTAATCCAGGTAATTCCTTATGCTGGCAGCAATGAGGCCCAGCTCATGCCTCGTTATGTATGTGCTGATTTGGTTCTCTGCAGGCCTCCCATTGACTGGTCTGCGGCCATGCATGTAAAACCCAATATAGATCTAATCTGATTTTAACATTGATACAGAATTAGTGGCTAAAAGGAGAAGAAAGTAAGTAGATGATGAATTTGACTCAGTGACCTGGAACACGAGCTGTCAGCTCGTGAGGAGAGATGGGTTATCAGAGCTGAGGACAATGTGGCTTGATTTATTCCTTAGTGGCAGGGTGTTGGGAGCAATAATTGTCATTAGTCCTTGCATCTCAGCTGTCCTGCTTCAGCATGTGCCAAGACCTAGCACAGGATTTTCAAAGCCAAGGCTTCTGTGACTTAGGACTCATTTACAGCTATATGTATATTCTATATGCATATATAGAAGCATATATACGTACCTCTCTCCAACCCAACAGGTTTTGCAGCAAAGTTAATTTGCACTATTTTGTATTTCCTGCAGGCTCAAAACTGTTCCTGCAGCTTAATGCCTTCCACCACGGTAATTTGAAGGTGTCAGTGCATAGGCCCCCGAGGCTCCTTGGCGATATGGACCTAGTTGCTTCACACTTCAAAAAAACCCACTCTTGGGTAAACCTTAGTGTGGGTTACCATGACCGGCACCTTCACATGGGCTGGAAACATGGTATCACGGCCCTAACTAAGGTACTATATATGATTCTAGATAGCTTGTGCAGGACAAAAATCCTATTAATTAATACGAAGTTTAATTAATTTAAATTTCCCAAGATTTTAATGACTCTAAAAATTAAAGCGTTTAGTACTTTTAGCTGCTTGCTCTACATGGATGGAAGCCTCAGAACCGGTTTTCTCCCTTTTTTAAGCACAAAAGGGAAGGTTGAGCTCCCTGCCATTAGGTGGCAGCAGGACATGCAAAAATGAAAATGGCAAACTCCCCTGAGGCACATGGATCATCTTAAGAATGATGTAGGATGTAATAAATGTAGAACATGCACAGGGCTTATGATTACTGTGACAGAGAGATGACATACGCATATATCCTCTCGATTATATTAATATATTGGATAGTATTTCAATGTTAAAAAGATATGAATCATCTGAGTGTATTCTGTTATAGTTTAAGCCTAACAAGACACCCTCCTATAATAAAATACAGAGCAAGCCATAAACTTTATCTATCAATTTAGGTACAGGAAAAAAAACCCCAAGCATTCTTTTTTTAAACAGATTTTGGCTTTTCTCCACGAAAGCATGGTGTCCAAGGGCAGAGATGAGGTAGATTTGAAGAAATGGCAGGGTTTTCCTTCCTCTGAACTGGTTCTGTTTCTTCCCTGCCATTTCCTCCCACTCTTCTGTGGTTAACAAATTTTTTGGCTCTTGGCTTTGTGCAGTCGTTCCCTGCATAAGAAGCTACTGGTGGAGGGGGGAAAAGAGGGAAAGAATGAACAATTGTTTGGTTTATCATATTAGTTGTTCCACGCATTTCTCATTGAGAAAATAGTAAAAAATAAAATTACAAAAAAAACCCTAATGATTCTTCCTCTCTAACCTGGAAAACATGCAGATTTTTTGCTCTGTGTTGGTTTTACCAGTAGCAGGAAAAGTTTTCCCTTAAAAAAAAAAAAAAAAACAGAGAAAACCAAATAATTTTCTTCCTTGAAAATAATAACTAATTCTGTTCAGCACTAAGCTGTGCCACCATCTCTTTCCAACGGCTAGCTGCTGGCTAATATCTGCAGAAAAATCATTTCTCTTTTTGCTACTGCTCCTCCTACTCCTTTCTTCTTGTAAAACTGCAGACTTTGCCAACTGACTGCTCTACAGTCAGGGGAGATTACCTGTTTTGTCTCCCATGCCCTCTGCTACCTCCAGCGAGTTGTGATTGACTTACAGCCTTGGCACTCTCACTCTGGATTTACCACTATGTACTTGAGTGTGTTGTTCTTTCCACAAGCATTTTCTTCAGCTATTAACCAATAAAACTTGGCAGATGGGTTATAGTGAGTCTTTCAGTGCCGACTTGCGAAGCCTCAAATGGCAGAAAATCCTTTGGTTTAGGTTTAATGGTTAATTTTTTTCCCTGCTTCTGATTTGAATTGGCCTGTCTTTAATTTCTCACCAGTAGTTATTGTTATGCCTTCCCACAGTAGAGGAAAGATCCCTCTAAGACATACGTGGGACTGTTCTCTGGGATGGTAGCGCTGTTTGAAACCGGGTGGCTCAGCTGCCGAGCCGAACACGTGGCTCTGGCCATCTTCTACCCCACATCCCGCCATGTCCCGCTGCAGAGACGCAGCGTGTCCCATGGATTGATGAGAGCAATAGATCTGCAACCAACATCACACTGAATATTTATGAGCTTAGCCAGCTAATGCGTGCTGATGAAGGCTGCGATGCCTTCCCCTTGCTGACCCTTTGCTATTATTCATCTGAGTTACAGTCCAGCTAGCCCGAATTGGTGAAAGACTGCGTTCCTGTAGAGGATTCGTAACGCCATCTAAAACTGCGGGAAGATCTGACCCGACAAGTCTGCGTTCTTCAGGTTTTGGCTACGGGTGTGGATTCCTGTTGCTGGTATATGTAAGTGCATATAGAAAATGAAGAACCTCTTTTTGCAGCAGTCCTTTTTTTAAGTTGCCAATAAGGCCAATATTTGCTTCCCCTAAGTTGTGCTTTAAAAAGTGGTAAATCTTATTGGTCAAAAAAAAGTTTTAAATTGTCCATTTTTCCCATGTAAACTGTGAGTGTAAGAGTGATCACATTTAACCAACGGTGTTGAATTGTTAGGATTGGAATGTAGAGGATGACAAGAAATTCGTGCGTCTGTGGGCAAGCCAGACCCCATACAGCAATTGAGGGCATTTATATTTAATGCCTGTCATGCAAACATTCCTAAGATATAAAGTAGCGCAAATGCAAGAATAAATAAAGTAGATCACAGGTCAGTGTTATCTGGACAGCTCTGTCAGATGGTAGCTTGTTCTGCTTTCTGAATTTCAATTCCAAATCATGATGATTACTACTCTTTTTTCTGCTTTGTTTCATTCAGATTTCAGAGACAAGTGTTCAGAAACTTTACTTAAGCTCACACACTTAAATTTCAATTTCATTTGTGCAACAGCCACATCTCGTCCTCCGCCAGTCCCTAAAATAGGAGCAAGCAGAGTACAGCGTTCCAATATAAACTGTTGTTTACTAATGGTTAGGTGATACCGGAATGGCGTGTGGTTATTACAGCTACTCAAATAATATGTAAAACTATCTCAGTGTTAGCACAGCAAATCACATAGTAGTTTTTTGGAAAATGATTAGTTAAATTGCTAACTGAGCTCTAGTTTCTATCACTCTCAGTCTTATTCGAAGTCCAAAAAGTAATCCCTACCCCAGAGACTTTTCTGCTCGTTAAAACCACCGGCTCTTTGCCCCTTTCCTCCGCAGTGGCTCCTTCCCACAGGAGGGCACCAGCTACACGTGTTTGAGCTGCATGTCTATTCGTTTCATGAGGCTCTTTCTCCCTCCTAATCAGATTACTTCCTCCACA